TACTCACCTTCACATTCAAAACAGTTAATTGGAGTCTTTGTTGGGAATCAAACATTGAATAAAGCCTCAGAGGGAACAGGTCTCCTGCCAGGGTTAAATGAAGCTGAGCTCATGGCGTGACAAACAAGGCGTTGGATAAACCGGTGTTTAGGTGTGTGTTTAGGTGTGTGTTTAGGTGTGTGTGTAACCTCCCAGATGACTGAGGTGGCAGCGAGCCAGAACTAGTGTTGGCTGGGAAAATAAAAAACAGATCGCAGCTCCAAAGGCAGTGGTCAGCCGCCATCTATTATGTGCTTTCCTTCAGATATGTCTCAGTAGAGGTCATATCGTTTTACACCCACGTTCACATTACATAGCTGACGGAGATTAATATGCTCTGACATCAAGATGCACACATGTACATGCTTTCCTTCAGATATGTCTTGTTATGGCAATTATGATATTAGAGCTTAATATAGTGTCATCCTAATGAAATGTAACCTTTTTGCTAAGTAGTATCCTTTCAAGTGTTTTAAAGCCTTATGTCTGAGAAGAACATTTGGTCTGTGTTCACGAGGGTAAGATGAAGTGTTTTATAACACTACAGGAAAGACAGGAGGAAAGGTAGCCATTTGCTCTAAGGGGTCTGCGACATCCAATTGTTCTTTGTAGGGTGTGAGTTTTGCTTATTGTTGTTGTGCTGTCATGTAAGCGCGTTTCCACTACACGGCCTCGCTCGGCCCCGCTCGGTATGGCTAGGCCTCGTTAGGACTGGCTCACTTTATGGCGCATTTCCATTACAGTTTAGGAACTGGGGTAGTAACTATAGTAACGCAGTGTAGGCGGAGCCGTGACGTCATCTTCAATGAGAACCCCAGAAAAACAACACAGCCGTTAGCTGTTAGCACTCAGAGCTCACAGCTCCTCATATATGTTCAGAAACTAGACAAAAGTTAAACAAGTACAAACCACAGACTGCCTGTGTCATGGTGAATACAGTCGCTGGTTTATTTATGTCTGTATAGGCCGTTGTTGTGAGTGTGGACGGTCGGAGCATATACTGCGTTAGCTTAGCCAATCTCCATTTAGAAAACACGCATTTTAAAAGGTGTTTCTCCTGCCGTCTGTCTGCAGACTTGACAAAGCATTAATTCATGGTTTTTACTAACCGGTATCAGTATGTTGTTACTTCGGCATCATTTTGAAACGTGTATTACAATTAAATCACGGTCAAATATGTCCATCTTGTTGTAGTTGTAGCCCCCTTGCCAGCGATCCTCTCTCTAGTTTAGCATACTCAGCCCGACTCAGCCTCGTTGTCTCTGGCCCTAGACCCACGATTTTATGAGGCCAGAAAAACTGTGAATTAGGACCCGCCGGCCGGTACTAGGCCAAGTGGAAACGCAACCAAAGACGGGCCGCTGACGTCACAGCCCTCTTAAACCGTGCTCCGCGCTGTAGTGGAAACGCGCCATGATGATCTTTGATGTTTCCCTATAAGAGCAGGACGCACTCGGAAGGAGTCGTCATGCTTGCAAGCAATCAAAGAAAAAAGACCTTATATCGATATTGTGTTTCTTTGCATGTTTGCTATATATCAAACTCATCATTCTCTCTAGACAGCAGCTGGTTTTAAGTCGCTACGACAGTCTAAGTAGAGCCTGGCGAGGTCAAATGGTTTTTACACCCACGTTCACCCGTTGGCCGCACATTGCAAAGCTGACGGAGATAAATATGCAGCCGATAATTCTGACATCATGTCAAGCTGCACACATGCTGACCGCTGTGCTTCCTCTCTGCTCAGCTCTTGTTGCTATCCAACTCCCTCGAGACCTGAATCAATTACTGCCACCGTGGGGATGTGGGAGTTTTTCTTTTTCTTTCAGCTCACGCTCAGCTAATTCTGCCGCCAAGGGGCACGTCTAGTCAATAATCTGCCTGGTGCAGGAGGCTTAGATCGCTTCAATATTTCAGTCGCTTTATATTGCTCCCTCTCTGCTAAGGAGGACCGTAAACATTGTCTGAAACACCTTCCAGGTACAAAGCGTGGGCGCCTGTTTTTTGAAAGTTTAATGTGCATGTGGAGTCCAACATGCAGTCGCTTTCATCAGCAGACGATCAATCTTTTGGACATTTTGCTAGAACGTGCAAAAACCTTCTTTGTCTTGCACTCAGTAATAGATTCAAGATTCATCCGAGGCTTTTATTCTCATTTGTACATCAGCTGCTACAGTGTAGATATGTCAATGACAAACTGAAGTCACAGGCTCCTCCAACAGTGCAACATATAGACAGGACATAGAACAAATACAACTGATAAAATAGTGCAAGAGAATACAAATAAAATAGAACAGAAATAGTGCAAGAAGAGTCTAGTATTCTATTTACTACCTTATTTAAAGGGGACCTATCATGCAAAATGCACTTTTGTAGGTCTTTTCTACATGAATATGTGTCCCCGGTGTTCCAGGGAACTCACCAAGTGTCAGAAAACACAACCCTCTCTATTTTCCTCCATACCCAAATCTCTAAAAAAGGGGCTGCAACGGATCTGATAAAAACTGATCCAGATTTGAACACTGTCCTGACGTCAGGACGGTGGCGCTACGGCTATTGGGCCAACTCCACCAATCAGGAGGAGACAGCCACGGCCATTGCCGTTCGAAAGCGCTGGAGACGCTGTAGTACATATGCCAGGCCTGTAGGTGGTGCTGTTCTCACTGAATCAGCCCAGAGCTAGAAATTGTCAAATTGAGCGAAATGAGGCATGGCTAAAATGCATGATCTGTTTGGTATTTTGCAAAGAAAAAAGTATAAATATGCCTTATATAGGTATGGTCCTACACTATATTATTCAAATATAGCATGATAGGTCCACTTTAATTATATTTCCTTCAAAACGTATCGAGATATTCTTTTAAATCAACAAAAGCACAGTTAAATTGAATATGATATTACATTACATGTCACTTGTTAGACGCTTTTATCCAAAGCGACTTACATACTCAATACTGTGGGCAATCCCCACAGGAGCACTTTGGGGTGAAGTGTCTCAGGGACACAACGACATGCTGACTGCAGTGGGGTTTGAACCTGTGACCATCTGATCCCAACACCTACGGACTAACCCACTACGCCTCCATATATGATATATTGGATAAATAATTTGTCAGATGCAAACAGATGAATGTTTATGGATGTTCTTTCAAAAGTTCATAATGCCCAAGATGATGCAGATGTTCAGAGCGTTTAGACAGATTGCAGCAGCTATTCATTCTGATGTAAGAACACACGGGAAGGCAGCGTGAAGAAGAGGAAGCATGCTCCTGTCGCCTCAGATCATCTGTGAAGCAAATGGCCTGCCACCACGCTATCTACGTCAACTTTGAACATATGTAGCTGTCTCTGCTGTCAATAGACTGTAAAATGGCACGAGGTGATAACGCTGCGATGCTAACAGGTATAAGAAGACGCCTGTAGCCATGCTAAACACTTATCTGTTTGCCACACGCACACTTGTGGGAATCCGCGTGTGAAAGAAAGCTTGTACTGTAATGTGATTTTTAGCAATGCTCCAGTTAGATTGCCTCATCAGATTTGTTGGCCTTGAAACTAATGAGCAACATGCCAAGGATGTGAGGCTGTTGGAAACATTGCGATGATGATCTGTTTTGCAAAGATGCAGACATGAGGCGATTCAGTTCATTTATCAACAAGATATTATTAATGTTGGAAGCTGTTTACATCACTGTACATGCTGGACAGATATGTTTCCAGCTTCATCCTACCTTACAGCGAGCTCTTCCCTCACAGTTACACACCACCTTCTGCCTCTGAGCAGGTTCAAAGATTTGCTCAAGGGCACCTTACTGATAGTTACTGAAGGGAAAAGACAGCGTCCACACTGCCCTCTCTCTCTTTTAGGGCTTTTATATTGCCACTGAATTGTTTTATTTTCTTGTATTACATCCAGCGACCTGTCTCTAAGACACTGGACGAGCCTCTGTCCGTCTCCCCCTCTCTTCAAGGCTCCAGATGATTGATGGGCAGAGTAATGGCCCTCCTCACTGACACTTTTATTTGCACGATTTAGAGGCAGAGGACACCTGCTGCGTGCAGATTGCCGTATCATCTCCGACAGATGAGGCTCACACACTGCATGTTGACACCGTTTTAATCAGGGTTCAAGTTCACTTACTGCCATTTGTTTCTGTGATCAGTGTGTGTGCATCGTCTTGGAAATGAGAGTGGTATTTATAGCTTACATATGTCCCAGACTTATACGCTATGTAAATCCAAGATTATGACATAATCGTTTAATTTCCGTCCGTCTGTTCTCTGAACAACGTTGGACCTTCCTCAGATGCTCAGTGGCCAAAGCTAGCAGCTAAGCTAGCAGCTAAGCTAGCAGCGTAGGTCTTATCCCTGAATGAGTACATTTCATTTGATGATAATACTTTTCTACTTTTACTTGAGGAACATTTTGAATGCAGGACTTTTACTGAAACAGAGTATTCCTACACTCTGGTACTTCTACTTTTACTCAAGTACAAGATCTGAGTACTTCTACTTTTACTCAAGTACAAGATCTGAGTCCTTCTACTTTTACTCAAGAACAAGATCTGAGTACTTCTACTTTTACTCAAGTACAAGATCTGAGTACTTCTACTTTTACTCAAGTACAAGATCTGAGTCCTTCTACTTTTACTCAAGTACAAGATCTGAGTACTTCTACTTTTACTCAAGTACAAGATCTGAGTACTTCTACTTTTACTCAAGTACAAGATCTGAGTACTTCTACTTTTACTCAAGTATAAGATCTGAGTACTTCTACTTTTACTCAAGTACAAGGTCTGAGTACTTCTACTTTTACTCAAGTATAAGATCTGAGTACTTCTACTTTTACTCAAGTACAAGATCTGAGTACTTCTACTTTTACTCAAGTATAAGATCTGAGTACTTCTCGCACCTCTGACTGTATATTTAAGTGAGTGTTTTGTAATGATGGTACCTTTTCTCACAGCGATTGGCGAGCCGGTGAGGTTGGAGTGGTTCAGTCCTCAGGGCGAGCGCATCCTTCCCTCCAAGCGGATGGCTCTTCACTCTGAAACGTCACGATCCAGACTCATCATCTACAACGCCATCATCGAGGACGCGGGGATCTACCGCTGCCAGGCCACGGACGCTAATGGACACACGGAGGAGGCCTCGGTGGTGCTGGAGATCTACCGTAAGACACACACACACACACACACACACACACACACACACACACACACTAGCTTTTATCACCAGAGGTGGGAAGTAGTGGAGTACAAATACTTCGTTACTGTACTTAAGTACATTTTTCTGGTGTCAATACTTTACTCTACTACTTATTTTTCTGACCACTTTCTACTTCTTACATGTTGAACACAAATACCTGTACTTTCTACTTCTTACATGTTGAACACAAATACCTGTACTTTCTACTTCTTACATGTTGAACTCAAATACCTGTACTTTCTACTTCTTACATGTTGAACTCAAATACCTGTACTTTCTACTTCTTACATGTTGAACACAAATACCTGTACTTTCTACTTCTCACATGTTGAACTCAAAGACCTGTACTTTCTACTTCTTACATGTTGAACACAAATACCTGTACTTTCTACTTCTTACATGTTGAACTCAAATACCTGTACTTTCTACTTCTTACATGTTGAACACAAATACCTGTACTTTCTACTTCTCACATGTTGAACTCAAATACCTGTACTTTCTACTTCTCACATGTTGAACTCAAATACCTGTACTTTCTACTTCTCACATTTTCCAAACAGGCTGGTTCATTTAGTTTGAATGTGTGTTTGGTGGCGTGATCATTATTATTTAGAGTCATTGCGTGCCTATTGATTTGAACACGATCCGTGTATCCATCATTTCCTGGTCTTCTCTAAAGAAGAGGGACCAATGAAAACGTTGTCATGTTGCCGTTGTTCAGCATGGAAACATTCATTAGCTAACAATGACATTATTGTTCTATTAATATAAAGGGAGGTCAGGTACTCTTTAAAACAGCTGCTAGTTATGGGTACTTTTTACTGAAGTACATTTCAAAGCCTCTTTACTTTTACTTGAGTAAAGAAGTTTAGTCAGTACTTCTACTTTCACCAGAGTATGTTTAAACACGAGTATCTGTACTTCTACTTGAGTAAAGGATGTGTGTACTGCTTCATGTCTTCTCCGGCTCTGATCCACTTCATGCATAGAGACACAGAGTTATTTCCAATCATGTTGGGACTGGAAGGTTACGAGGTGAACCTATTGAGCCAGATTAGAAAAGACATGAAGCAGTTGCAGGCAAATTGTTGCAAAGGAAAGGATGAATGTCTAGGATTTAAGTGTTCTGCAAAGATCCAGATGTGAGTGGGAGTAATCACGGAAACATCTTGTTCCTAAGCGCTGAACAAGAACTGCTAAAAGATTCAAATGTTCTGATGATAATCTCTAAGATAAGATAAGACTGTATTTATCCAGAAGGAAATAGTTGTGTCAGAGTTACAAAAATACAATAAACACAGCAGCATAATAATAAAACTGTTCCCTATCAGCGCAGTACAAAGAGCAATTAAATAACTCACACTTCACATTAGCCTCTCACACACTCTCACATATATCTGTGTTTCCCCCTGAACACACCCTCACATTAACATCCATTGCATCACAACGCAAGGTGTTCATCTGTGGATTAACTGCAATACTGTGAAACTTTGTCTAAACTAAAACATTTAGAAATCAAATCCTGACTGTTCTGAGCAGGAACTGTGAACTCATGCTTGATATTTATTGTCGTTGTAAAAGTTATTTGACAATTAGACAGTTTATACATCCGAAAAACAAACAGGAGGTGTGTGTGTGTGTGTGTGTGTGTGTGTGTGTGTGTGTGTGTGTGTGTGTGTGTGTGTGTGTGTGTGTGTGTGTGTGTGTGTGTGTGTGTGTGTGTGTGTGTGTGTGTGTGTGTGTGTGTGTGTGTGTGTGTGTGTGTGTGTGTGTGTGTGTGTGTGTGTGTGTGTGTGTGTGTGTGTGTGTGTGTGTGTGTGTGTGTGTGTGTGTTCATATGTCTGTGTGTGTGTGCATATGTCTGTGTGTGTCTTCATATGTCTGTGTGTGTGTGTCTTCATATGTCTGTGTGTGTGTGTGGGTGGAGGTGTGTGTGTGTGTGTGTGTGTGTGTGTGTGTGTGTGTGTGTGGTGTGTGTGTGTGTGTGTGGGTGTGGGTGTGGGTGGGTGTTGGGTGTGGGTGTGTGTGTGTGTGTGTGGGTGGGTGGGTGGGTGGGTGGGTGGGTGTGGGTGTCTTCATATGTCTGTGTGTGTGCATATGTCTGTGTGTGTCTTCATATGTCTGTGTGTGTGTGTCTTCATATGTCTGTGTGTGTGTGTCTTCATATGTCTGTGTGTGTGTGTCTTCATATGTCTGTGTGTGTGTGTCTTCATATGTCTGTGTGTGTGTGTCTTCGTGTGGGTGGGGGTGTGTGTG